AGACAAGGGAACTCCTGCATCAAGTATTAGGAGGAATTTACCTTCATGGATGACTTTAAGATGGACCTAACCCGCATTTGCGCTACATGGAGAGGAAAACCACGAAAACCTCCCACGCTCAGCCTGACGGAAAACGAACTCTAACCCATAATCCGTCTATTACTGAGGATATTTTACGTTGTGGAATAGTTAATATTTTATACTTTGCCGGTAGATTTTTATATTCCATACAGAGCAGTGGTGGCTCAGAGGATAGAGAGCTCACGTCTACCATTGAGGTGACCCGGGTTCGAATCCCAGCTTTGACTGGTCAGCACAAATTCTGCTCCCGACTCACGCCGACCACAGTGCTGACATAAAATATTTTCAGTGATAGATGGATCATGGGTTAGAATCCCCTTGCCGTCAGGTTAACCGTGAGAGGTTTTCGCGGATCTTAAGTAACGCGTGAAGGCACGAATGCAAGAAATTGCGTGAAATTTGTTTATTTACAAAATCAACGCGAAGTTCTTATTTGCAGTAATATAGTAAGTATTCGCAATAAATTTTCAAAATTGCGACCAATAATAGTAATACGAGTTACAGCTCTGAATGACTTGTCACAATTTGGAACATTTATTGTGAATGCTCTATGACTGCAAATAAGCACTTTGGCGTTGATTTTGTAAATAAATGCACTTTTCATTTCGTGTCTTAAGACGTCGTTTTAGACCTTGCATTCAAAAAGTGCTAGCCTACACAAAAGTGCTAGCCGTGATGGATCAAGGAATAGAGCTTTCGCCTTCCAATGAGGGGAACCGGGTTCGAATCCCAGCATCGGCTGGTCGATACGAATTCCGCGCCTGGTTCGCACCGCACCCACAGTACTGACGTAAAATATCCTCAGTGGTCGAGCAAAGCAAATGCAAGTTAACCTATCGAGCAAAGCAAATGCAAGTTAATTCCATCAAAAAGTTCTCCAAGAAGTCTAGTTTGCCCCGATTAAGGAATTCCCTTGTCATCTGGATTGAGTTCAAAATTACAGCGCTACGGAGTTGAACGCTTTTAGTCGTGAACTCAGAATCAACTTAGCTGTTCAACTCCGGTTATAAAATAAAAATATTCCGTAGGATGACTAGAGATCCTACAGAAAACCAAATTGCAAACTTTAGTGTTGACATGTATGGTAACGGAAAAGGGATAATGAGAATAATCAATGATAAAAGAAATAATCAATGAATCAAAATTTAACATTCTAATTTGCCAGAAGCAAAAAATTAGCATTATCAAAATTTAACATTATAATTTGTCATGATAATTTGTAAGATCTTTATTTTGTAACCGTCATAAAAACAAAGCCACTCAATTACGATACCATAGTGATATGTTTCGGACCATACAAATTTCCTATTTTTCAAATGAAGGGGAAAAAAATTATCAATGAAAGGAATCAAGTGAATTACTTTGAAATCATTTCAGCAAGCGATTACAATTATTCTTAATAGTATAAAAAAATAAATAAACAATTTTTGCCTTTCAAAAGTTGTAGGCTGGTTCTTTAATGGCTGCATCAATTTTGATATCGAAATGTTTACAACACTTAAATTAGCACAATAATGTTAAAATACAATGTCACAGAATAATAGAGAGAAAAATAAAATAAGTAGATGGCGCTGAACGTCAGGCGATATTTGCTATCTGAAGATTTGACAAGAAGAAAAACGAAACAGAAACGGAAAATTGACATCCGGTCGCAAGGTCATAAACTGATAAAAATGCCTAAGTTTTAAAGGTGATTAAAGAGATATTTCATTAATCATGTATGTTTTCTCGTTATGTTTACAAGATCATGAGGAAATTATAAAGGATCATTCAAAAACTAAGTATTTAAAAGATTTTAATATGCATATTTTGACTGAGTTAGAAGTTTCATTTCGGAGGATAATTTAAAACTGTTACGAACTACAAACCCAGATCGAAAGATTTGCATGTTAAAGAAAATTTATTTGTTCGCTTTTGTTTTCGATTTAAGTAAAATTATACATTCATATCGAAATTCATAGAAATTGACGCTGTTGTATTAAAAAATAATTTTAAAAAAAAGCACTTTTTTTGTCATGTGCATGTTTTTTTTTGTACGATTGTTCCTGTTTTTCAGTGGCGCCATCTACGCCCAGGAATTCGACTTCTGCCACACCATTCACCCAATCACAAACCCGTTTATAGGACAGGTCACATTCACTCACACAGAGGAGAAAGGACATAGAACACACAGCGAGAACGAAACATCCATGCCTTGCCCGGTATTCGAACCCAGAAATTTTGTAATGCAAGGACAGTTCCCTGCCCCCTACACAGGCCGGTCGGCAGAAAAACACTTAAACATTTCATACTTTTTATGAAATATTTGAACTGAAATACTAAGCAGCTATCTTTTTATCAATTAGAAGCAAAAACGTTGGTTTGGTTTATTGGTACAACAAACATTTGCAGGCTGGTGTGATCAATTAAGGCCTGTAAGCCTTTATCTAAAAGAAGGTCAGATGGCACAATACAGAGAGGAACAGCACAAAGATACAACAGGGTAACAGCGGATTACGAACCCTGCTAAACCATTTTTCTCCTTCATATGCTTTCACATTACCTGACCGGTTTTCGTTTTAAAATCATTTTGAGGTCTGTTAACAAAATTGAATCCAAGTCCCATACAGATCCTACAAGTATTGATAATCGACGGGGCATTTACCACATGCATTACCATAGCCACTAATGACATAACAAATTTACATTGAGGGAACACGACAGATGTGTCCAAAACAAAGGATTCCATAAATTGCTGTATTAGCACAATTGTATCCTCTATTGCTGTACATTATTGGGACCTTCAGCACAAATTTGAATTCAATAGCACAATTCTTTCCATTCCTTCCACATCAGCTTATCGTGTAACTCTAAAATCTTGTTATTATTATCTCTAATTAATGTTAATAGTTTCGCGCAAAACTTCATTGTGCTTAGAATTGTGCCTTTTTTAGTCATCTCGTTCTTCTCTGCTGCCATGTTTTTTCCCCTTTTACTTAAAAATCACAAGGCTTGACCTCAATTAACATAGATCATGCATATATCTTTATCTCTCATCAGTTAAAAACTAATAAAAGCTATAGTAATATTTTACTGAAAATTAATTATTTATTTTACTTCTAATAGTTAGTTCATCCGTAAAAGTAATCCGAATTTTGCTTCAGTATTGTATCAATTTGACAATAAAGTTGAATTGCATAAATATTTATACGATGTTCAAAACCTTAAACGTAAATGCTAAAAAGTAAGAGCAAGCTCGGAAAATAATCGTAAAATTATTGAAAAATAACGCAAAGCTGCATGGCAAAACTAGAACTTTAACTGACGTTTTAAATCCGTTTGTGATTAGGGTAAAAAACGGGAAGAAACTGTTTTGTTAACACGATTTTAAACCGTTGAATATACGGGAAAAAACAATGAGTATTTTTTGCAGTGTAAGAAATTATGATTTATGCCCAAAATGAGAAGAAATTCTCTACGAAAATAATCTTACAATAAACAAAAATTTTAAAGAATTAATTTATAATTTATTTTATGTGATCTTTTTATATTAAAATTTTGGTAAAGCGCACATCACTGTTTTGAATGTTCAACTATACATCATACTTTATTTTGCTGCGTAAGAACTATAAAGCTTAGAAATTGAAATTTCAAAGATAAGTAGAAAAATATTTGAAGAATACAATGGAATAAAAAGTTTCTCATTCGATAAATAGTTTAGGTATAATTAACCTTTAAATTTACAGTAAAAAATAACATGCGAACTGATCTGCTGCCCATTGAAAGGCAACTACAAACTTAGAATTCGACAAACTGTGAGAGCCATTTATGTTTATGAACTCTACCCGAATAATTTTTTACGAAATTGCAATTTGACTGAAAAATATTTTTTCTCAGTTTTTTTTCTTCAAATATTTATCTATTGTAGTAGAAAAATTTATTTTTCTCTCTCGAGGTCTTAATTTTATGTATCTAATGTCGTGCTTAATCTTTGTCCTTATCTCACGATGAGTTGATGTCAAAAAAAAAAAGACAGAGAGATTTGATAGATAATGCCAGATACAAATCTTAACATTTATCCAAAATTAGAAATAAAACTTTAATATCAGAGAGATAAAATTCATTCCTTATTTGAAGGATTATAAGTCTCTTTAACGAGTAAGAACACTTCTCATTCATTTCTTCTTATTTAGTCAGGCAATCTGTATTCCTTAGATCAATTTTTAGGTTAATTTGAGATTAAATTTTCAGGTGATTATTTTTTAAATCCAGGTAATCGGTTATTTTCGTTATTATTTATATTTTAACAAAATTCTTTTACATAACGCTCCAATAGCTGTGTATTTAAACAAAATATTCTTTGCTTTTGTAGAAAATATTGACTTTTAATGTTAAAAAAAAAAGAAGAAGAAAAAAACATAATCAATGAGGCGTAATTACGCTGGTTGGTGAACGAACGAAGTGAACAGGAGATAAAAGCTCAAGGTAAGTCGAAAAATATTTAAAGACTACGATGGAATAAAAAGTTTCACGTTCGATAAATAGTTTAGGTATAATTAACTGTTAAATTTACAGTAAAAAATAGCATGCGAACCGATCTACTGCCCGTTTAAAGGCAACTACAAATTTGAAATTCGACATACTGTAAGAGCCATTTATATTTATGAACTCTACCCAAATAATTTTTTACGAAATTACAATTTGACTGAAAGTTATTTTTTCNATAGATTAATGTTCTTAAGCATCATAACATGTTAATAAACAAAGTATCACTTTTCTCATTACTTCCATATAATTTTAAAAATCCAATGTATTCCAATTCATAAAGCAACCTGCTTTACCCTTATCGCCCATGATAAACAACTGAAAGATCTCGGTTTTTATACCTTCATATCTACCATCCGTTCTGAACCGTATTTTTTTGAGCAAATCTTACAATCGCAGAATCACTTCTCAGGCTTTTATTAATAACTCTTCCAAAGATAGTAGACTCTGAGTTTTTCGGCGAAGATAGGACCGATCCTTTGTGATGCGTGCTGGCCATTTCCTGCTTGTTTTGAGATTGTATAAAATGTGACCACACGAATCGCTGGCGCTCAGTTGTCCATTCAGATCGCCAAGATGTCACTCTTACACGAAAAGCAAGTCCGAGTTCTAAAACTGTTCGAAAGGCTTAATGTCGCAGCCACTGGTGAAAATATTCCGACTGACCAAATTGATGCACGTCTTGTTGGCAAAGTAGGACAGTTGGCCAGCAATGCTTTCTTCTCATGCTTCTTGCCTGAACATTTGGAAGAAGCAAGAAGGCTTATTGAAATTTTCTACAGTAAGTCTATTGTTTTTTGTTTTTTTAAAATTATATATATTAATAAATTTAAACTAAATAATGTTTAATTCTACCTTATATATTTAATATATATACTTAATCCCAAAACTAGTTAAATACTAATATACTAATACTTACTTGTTAATTTAAATAATAATATATTAACTAAATCCTACTAATATATTAATTATAATATGAATTAAATACAATTAAAAACTAATTAATTAAACGATAACTGAAGAGCGGAGTGAAAGAGCATATAAAAATACTTATTTTAATAATAATATGATAATAATAATAATAATATGATAATATTTAATAATAACATGATATTAATAATAATAATATGATAATATTTAATAATAACATGATAATAATAATAATATGATAATATTTAATAATAATATGATAAATGCTTAAATAAATCTCGTATAATCAATAACCGTATATGATAGAAGAAATCATTAAGAAATATTTTTGTATATTTTAGAATCTCTGCACAATACATCGTTTTTTTTTGTTTGTTTTTTTTAGGAAACTGATTTATTTAAAGATTTGGTAAGACTGATTAAAGTTCTATGCATAGATCCAACCATAGCTTAGATCCACAAACCTAGCAAATTGAATATTTTAAAATACGCTTCTTCACTAAATTGTTATTGATGACGTTATTTTACTAAGCTATTCAGTTCAAATTTTTATAATTACAGAACTTAAACTCATGCTTATTACACTATAAAAATAATATTTATATTTGATGCTTTTAATTCACTCAAAAATATAAACAATAATTCCTCACATAAATAACTAATTATCCCTTATGTCACATTATCCTTACATGGTTATGTTTAATTTATCCTTTTGCGCATAATATTTAATTCATCCTTACATGTTTAACGATTAAACCAATATACTAAGATATTATTTCATTGTAATAATTCTTAAATAGTACTCTTTTTCTCAAATGAAATTCAAATTCCATCGATGAAACTATAATTTTAATTTTGGGATCAATTTAATATAGATAATTATTGTTTCATTTAACGTTAGGTATTTAATAATTAAATTGTTATATTAATACATCTATAATTAATTATTGATCCTTAATTTAATAATCCGTTATGAAGATTATAATTATCCTCATGTAGTTACTTTTAATTGATTTATTCTATCCTTATGCATTAAATGTTTAATTTCATCCTTATTTAAGCAAATAAGGATGGAATTGAACATTATATTGGCTTAATCATTAAAAAATGATTAAACCAATATATTAAGGAAACATTTGTTCATTAATTATTCTTAAATTATTAATCTTTTATGAAATTGAAATTAGAATTACCCTTTTGACGTTAGTTATAATGTGTAACTAATGTTATAATATGTAATGAATGGGTAATTAATATTTAATTCTACATTATGCATGAAGTAATTAGTGTAAATATAAATACTCTTAATTAAATCATTCTAATTAAAGTAAAAATACTTATTATGGTAATCTAAGTAAAGTAATTAATAATATAGTTAAGATTGTACATACCCTTAGGTAGCTTTCATCTAAATATTTAAACAAAAGTTATATTTTTAATGGTTAATACAATAATTGAAGGCATGGTATCATCTGCTAAACTAAGATTTTTGCCACTTCTTAACATTATTTTTTTATATATAAGTTAAACAAAAAATATTAAAAAAGCATGATTACATTTTGTTCCGATACAATTGATTTTCGGTCAAAGAAAAAATTTCATGATCTTCATCGAATTTCGTGAAAATGAGATTCTAGTAGAAGTAAATAGAAATTGTTCGTCTTCAACAGCGAATAAAAACAAGATTTAATTTTAAAAATGTATCTTTCAAAATGATACAAAGTATTTTTATCATTTTTTTTTATTTTGGTATACAGTTGACATATTAAAGTCTTTTAAATGTGTAAAGTGAATGCTATACAGTATAAATAAAACAAATGATATATTACCAATTTTTTATATCATTTTCTGTTATCATTTTGCTGTTAGCGTTACCATTCTTTCTCCTAATGACACAATTTATATTTTTTTATAAATGACGGAGAAAAACTAATGACAATTTAGAATTTAAATGCTTTTCGTTAGTTTCATCTTATTCATGGCAAACATCCTATTTATGGTATTCATTAAACACGATTTTATTCAACTTTTACCTAGTACTGAATCATGGTTTATCCAAACAATTTTAATGTTATAAGGAAACATCAGCTGAAAATAATATGATGCACTAATTAATGTAATAATATGCACTAATTAATGTAAATAGATTATAATGCACTGATTAATGAAATAATATGCATTAATTAATGTAATAATATGAACTAATTAATGTGAATAGATTAATGTTCTTAAGCATCAAGGTAGCTGTACATGAAGAAAGAATTTCTGGTAAAAGTACCGTACTGTATGGTATTGATATTTCTAAAGGAAAAAAATTCCCGTTAATGAAACCAAAATATACTGTAATTAAATCATTTTATCTTTCATATGGTTCAACGGTTTACCGATTTACATTAAATTTGTCTTTGTTGCACGGGGAAAAATATTCGGTAAAATTACCTCACATTATGGTAATTAATTTTCTGGTAAAAAAAATCATAATTCCCCTTAATAAAACCAAAATATGCAGCAATTCATTTGATAACTTTTTCGATTATATGATAACGGTTCATCAGAAATTCTGATTTTCAAATTTATAGCTTTTATTACCACACGTTTAGCAAAAAATACAATTCTGAAAAGTAAATTTAACGTAATTGGTTTTTAACTATAAGCAATCATGACAATTTGCCTAATTTTATCACATGTTATGAAACCATACTTTATTGTTAACTTTACCAAATTCGTTACAAAAGAGTTTTGCTTCTATAAAAATCACTGATTTCTTAGGTCACTGATTCCATAGAGCCTAAAACACGGTAAATTGTACCATATTCTGCTACTTTTTACCATACTTTTTTCTCGTAGTATGCTCAAACTATGATATTTATTTTCATTACCATCATAAAAAATTCCTCAACATGTTATCCTTTCAGGCGCTAAGGACTTTGATGACTTTGTCCACTTGGCCGAACAAGCTCGTACCTTTGTGAATTCCACACTGTTTGCATACGCTGCTGAAGTAGCTATCTTGCATCGAGCTGATAGCAGGGGTGTTATTGTACCACCTATCCAAGAAGTTTTCGCCGACAGGTTCGTCCCAGCTGATACACTCCTCAGAGCATTCTCTATTGCTACAACCAAACCCGTTGGAGATGAGGTGAGCCATCAAAATAATAGATTTCCCACATTCCACATTCTAAAATAATAGACTGACTTGCTAATAACCAATTAAAAAATATACTAATTTACTGATTTAGCATTGCACCTTCTTTTACTTTATAACCATCGTTGAACAGTCGACCCAATGTCTTTGGTTTACGACTGCTAATGTTCAACTCCTTAGCCTTGTAATTTTGAACCCAATCCAGAAGACAAGGGAATTCCTGGATTAAGTATTTTGAAAAATCTGCCTTCGTCGAGGGCTTTTTAATGAAACTAACCGGCATTTGAGTTACACGAAAAAGAAAACCATGAAACCTCTCGACTGTTAGCCTGACGGCAAGGGGGCTCTAACCCATGATCCGTCTACCATTGAGGATATTTTACTTCAGCACTGCAGTCGGTGTGACTTGGGTGCGGAATTCGTATCAACCAGCCATCGCTGGGATTCGGACCCGGTTCACCTCATTGGAATGCAAGCGTCCTGAGCGCCAAGGCTCGCAACTTGTTTTAGAAAATGAACTAAAAGTCTTCCAAATAAGATAAGACGTTTTTTGAGGACCGATTATTATTTTTTTATAGACTATGACTAATGATACGCCGACCGGATTGTGTCTTGGTCAAGGAGCTGACCTTTCATCAGAGAGGTCCAGGGTTCAAATCCCGGACATGGGGTAAATGTACTTTTATTTTCTGTCCTTACTGTGGGAGCTACATTGGCTCACCTAATATGGTGTCTTTGAAAGGGTGGCCAACAAATCTGATACTTGATACTGATACTTGAACAATACTGATACTGGTACTGATACTGATACAATATTGAATAACGAGTGTCAATCGGATCAGAATTGGATCAAAAAAACTAATCATATTCTTTATTATATTCGTTACAGTATCAGTCTAGTTTACAGGCAACGAAATCTCTGATCACTTCTACACTAGATTTTTTATGACTAATCCTCCACTTTGCAAAATACTTTTTTTTAACTTGCCTTTAAAAAAACCTTTTAATAAACATTTATTAAACAATTATTTTTTTTTTCATTTATTACTATTATTTTGCTTTTTTAACATTCACTGTTATTAATCTTACTGATAATTTATAGAAAATTCCTACTAACGAATGATTCCTTTACCTTTTTAAATATACATTTTTTTTGCAATTTTTTTTTCGGAAACTAGCCTTTTCGAAAAAAAAAGTAACATTCGCAGCAAACTACTAAGTAGAGCTTAAAATAACTTTCAAATATATTTTTTTTTTAAAAATTGCAAACTATTGTTACGTTATGTTCTTGATAAATGAAAAACAATTATCAAAATATTTTGGTAAAAATTTAAAATCATTAGTTGGAATTTGAAATAGAAAAATATTTCAGCTCAAACTTCAACGTGTAAAAGCTTTTTGTGTAGAACAACAAAGTAACGTAACTGGTCAGTAATTTTTTAACAAATCTGGTCAGTAATGCAGAATTTATAACGGTTTTAATAACATATAATTTATGCATGGATAAAAATGCATTACTTTTTCAATTTAAAATAAAATATTAATTCTAAAGTGTACTCAATATTTAAAAAAATATATATTAAATATTGCACATCTTTCAGAAAATCCCAACGCCTCCCTAGAAATCTGCAACGTTTACTGGGGGAAGGGAGGTAATAGCACCCACGTTGGGAAACTATACACTAGATTATGTGACAGAGCAGCTAATTTACAATCCAACAGCCTTTAAGGACTTCATCACTTTTTTGGAGATATTTTCTCTTAGCTATAGTTGGTCGCAATTATAACGCAAGCTTTTATTTTTTAAAATTTGTTACCTTAACTTTAAAAAGAAAATCTAAATCATGTTTTTTTTTTATTTGAAAAAAAAACATGATTTAGACTTTTATATATTTGATCGTGCATATACTGCGTTCGTAAAGCTTCATCAGTTAAATTAAATTTTTATAATTTTAAATCTATCATTAACAATGAAAGAGAAAACGGAACAAGGAATGCTAATTTCTGCTTAGAATCTAAGGTTTAATGATACGTTTCAGGGTGATAGTTAAAATTTTGCAAAATCTCTTATTTTAGTTCACTTCATTACCATTTTTTTTCCTTTTATATTGTTATATAAATAGAATTATAAAATAATTTCTTCTATACTTTTTAATTAGATTTTAGGAAAACATTTCTTATTATTAATTTATCTACTGTAAAACTAAAAGTTAATCTTTATTAAACAGTTTTGAGTTTAATGGTTTTAGATAATAATTTTTTTTTCGTTACATTTATTTAAAATTCGCTCACAAGTTAGTTCATAATTAATTTTATTTTATAAAAACATTTTTACACTTTTAGTTTTATTTCCAATAATATAATATCGTTGTCTGGAACTACGGCTGAATTTCAAATCTGAAGTCACTAGAAAACCATTCTCAACAAGATTTGAAAATTTTATTGAACAACACACCAAAAGCATGTAAAAATTCGGGTTGAACAAGTATTTTTAACCTTTACATGCCCGAATGGGTAAGTAAATATTGAAAAAGAGATACCATAAATTGTCAATTGTCCCTAAATTGTATAACCTTTGTTGAATAACCGACCCAATTTTTTTTTGGTGGGGCGGGGGGCTTATGACTACTAATGTTCAACTCAGAAGCCTTGTAATTTTGAACCCAATATAGAAGACAAGGGAACTCCTGTATAAAGTATTGGGAGAAATTTGCCTTAGTGGAGCACTTTTTGATGGAACAAATCTGCATTTGCGTTACATGGAGAAGAAAACCACAAATACCTTCCGCGATTAGCCTGACGGCAATGGGACTCTAACCCATGACCCATCTACCACTAAGGATATTTTATGTCAGCACTGTGATCCGTGTGAGCCGGGTACGGAATTCGCACCGACCTGCCATTGCTGGGATTCGAACCCGGTTCAACTCATTGGAAGACATACTCTCTATTTCCTGAGCCCCCACGGTCAGCACCTTCTTTTAGAAAATAAACTAAAAGTCTTCCAAACTTAAACTTTTCATTCGGAATTCTCGTTAAATAAGTGATATCATTGTCGTCAACTTTTTATTCGAAATTCTCATTAACAGAGTGATTTTTTTGTTTATGTTAACTTCTTATTCGAAAATCTCATTAATAGCGTGATGTCATTGTTGTAGTTTACTTTTTCTTCAAAATTCTCATTAACTGATCAGACGTCATTCTCGATGTTAACTTTTTATTCGAAATTCTCGTTGACAGAGGTATACCATAATTGCTTTTAATTTTTTATTCAAAATTCTCATTAACAGAGGGAGGTCATTGTTTATGTTGACATTTTATGAGAAATTCTCATTAAGAGAGTGATGTTAGAGTTAATTTTTTATTCGAAATTCTCATTAACAGAGTGATGTTAGTGGTAATTTTTTATTCGAAATTCTCATTAACAGAGTGATGTTAGTGTTAATTTTTTATTCGAAATTCTCATTAACAAAGTGATGTAAGAGTTAATTTTTAATTCGAAATTCTCATTAACAGAGTGATGTCATTGTTGATGTCCATGCAACCGGTAATGTCTTGGACCCAGAGTACAAGCTTGCATATTACAGAGAAGATGTTGGAGTCAATGCTCACCACTGGCATTGGCACGTTGTTTACCCATCTGTCTACGATGTCAATTTCTTTGGAAAACCAAAAGACAGAAAGGGAGAGCTTTTCTACTACATGCATCAACAAATGTGTGCCAGGTATGCTACCATCTCCACACTGTTACAACATGCTAATAATTTTGATCAGTTTTAAATAGTTTGTTTCATGATCATTTTTTTTTTAATCCCCTTCAACTATTTTGATGAAAAACATATCTATCTTGCTCAGCTTGATATTGCTCAGTCTGGAAAACGGGTACATCGAGAAAAAAAGTCCAGATCAAATTACGGTATAAAGCACCGGCACTTTGAGTGTATCATTCGTAACATCCATTTTCACCGTAAAATATTATACTGTAATTATTTACACTAACATTCATTTAACTGAGAGTGATTCAGGGATTTTAATCTAATTATTACTGTTAAAATTATGGTACATCAGATTTTCTGTTCCGTAACATGTTCCAGTAAAAATGGATTTTACGGTAAAAAGTACGGGCATCCTTAGTGACAGAACTTTTTACCGTAATTTAAACCGAAATTTTTTATGGCGAGACATAACTTTATGTATGTTGTCTGGCAATCACGAGATAAAAAACGATACTGTACTCAGTCTCATCTCGTGATTGACAGCGATTACTTGAAATTACATTAAAATAGTAATACCCATTACTTTTCCCATTCAATTACTGAAAAAAGTACCGGAGCTCTGAGTATCAGTACTTTTTACCATAATTTTTATAGTGTATGCTAGATTTCCTTACCTCCCCTTGAAGGAAATTGTAAAAATACTTTCATCTGATTTCTAAGAGCTTAATGACTTAAGTTCTTTTCTTGTGTAAATGGTACTATATCTCAAGTGTTAGATCGACAGTAAGGTCTATTTTTTTTCAATTTCAAAACACACTGAAGAGTACTTTTGCATAATGACAAGATAAAAAAAATTTATTTTTTGTTCGTTTATTTGCTTGCATTTAAAAAAATCTAAACATTTTGATTGCTTAAATACTTTTTTATTTTAAATTTCAAGCGAGTTCTCATTTTTTTTTTTTCATTTTCCAAAACTTTTCTAATTTTGGAGGCCATTTAAGCTTTTACATATTTTTCCAGATCATCTTGTGACATTTATTCTTAAAATCATTGAAACCATTAGGAGGCTTGCATCATTTTTGGAAGCAGGATCTTAAGAATGTATTTAATAATTAGTGAACTTGGAAAATCCAAGTTAAGTGATATTTTTTAATAACAGTAAAATTTAAGATATAATTTTAGGTGCAATAAATATGTTGCTTATTTTTCAAGATCATTAAACAAAGTAGTTTTCAATGTGAAAATATGTTTTGTAATCAATTTCCTAATATTTCTATTTAATCAAAATAGAATTACTTATAACTTCTAAAATATTGTTTACCACTAAACTCATCACTTTGTTTTCTTTTAGGTACGATTGTGAACGTTTCTCCAACGGTTTGAACCGAATGGTGCCCTTCCACAATTTTGAAGAACCCCTTGAAGGTTATGCTGCCCACCTTACTCACATTGCCAGTGGACGTCACTATGCCCCTCGTCCAAGTGGTTTGGCCATGCATGATATGAGATTAGTAGACGTTCAAGATATGCAGAGATGGACCGAACGTATCTTGGAAGCCATCCACCTCGGAAAGGTCACCGATGCCGAAGGAAATGACATTGTTCTGGATGAAGAAAATGGCGCAGATATCATCGGTTCTTTGATCGAATCCAGCTACGACTCCAAGAACAGACAGTTCTATGGCAACTTGCACAACTGGGGACACGTTATGATGGCTTACATCCATGATCCTGATGGTCGATTCAGGGTAAGATTTTTCTTGATAAGAAAGTTTCATTATGCTAAAAATAAGCATTGTTAACTTCGATTTAAATTAAAATCTATGAAATTCTTCCATTAGGAAACTCCAGGTGTCATGAATGACACTGCAACCAGCTTGAGAGATCCTATTTTCTACCGTTTCCATAGATTCATTGATAATGTTTTCCAAGAGTACAAGAAGACTCTGCCAGTCTACGACAAAGATAACGTAAGTTAAATTAAGCCTAACATTTGCCCTTAAAAAGATATGAATTATTTGTTTCTTTTATGAGACTCTGTCGGTCTACGACAATGATAACGTAAGTTACAATTAAATTAAGCCTAAAGGCTTGGTTTCTTAGGACAGGACGCCGTCAGCTGGAAATCAGCGTTAACCTCTGATTGGTCCATTTGTGAGTTTGATAGTATACGTCATCGAACGCTCATCTTGAACTACAATTGCCGTCCAACTCAACTGCAGTTGGATTACAACGTGACGTTAACCACAGAAGCAATGGCGGACAACATCCAACAGCGCATTGAAATCAGCCAAGATTTTGATTTTGACATTAAACATAGCTTCTTCATTAAACATAGCACTCTTCATTTAGCTCAGCTATAATGTGTTTTTTCTTGGACAAAGTCATTATTTGTTCTCTAAAACACTGGTCGACAATAACAAAATCAATGCAAATTCAAAATAAATATTTGTTTACGTTATTAACGCATGCGCAATGAGAGATAATGTCTGCGTTAGACCGACTGCTCACGCTGAGCTAACAAAAAAGTATTTTTTTGGCGTCAGATCTACGTCAACTTTCCGCTGACGCCCAGATAAGGCGCTAGTTCTAAGAAACCAGGTCTTGAGCTAACAAACCAGTATTTCGTTGGCGTCAGCGTGACGTTGACGTCCCGCTGACGCCCAGATAAGGCGTTTGTCCTAAGAAACCAGACCTTAACATGCGCCCTTAAAAAGACATTAATTGCTTGTTTATTTTATGTGAGCTGATTGAGTTTCCATTCAATCAGCTCGCATATGAACTGAAATTGAATATGAACTGAAATAAAACATTCTCAGAAAGTATTAACAGCTACTTTGAAATACATTATCATGAAAAATCTCGACAAACTTCATAAAGTATTAAGGGAAGTACAAACATAAGGCAAACAACGTTAAAAAGCACAAAAATATTTATAAAATACAGACAGCTGTTTCGGATGCTCAAAGGGCACACTTCATCAGTGCAACAGAAAGAAATGAGAGAAAACAGGGTAAATATAAAGAAAGGTGACGTCACAGGAGGGTTTGCTCTAAACCCTCTTATGCCGTCGAACCCACGAACTCTCGGACATGGGCCCAGCTCCCTACCGAAAAGGCTATACCGGCCACTTTAGTTCTTATTACCACACCTTTAGTAAAAAATACATAGCTGAAAAGTAATTTTAACCGAATAAATATTTTTCATGCCATGCTCTAAAATATCAAGAAAAAATTATCACATTTGCCAAATCTTACGGCATATTATAAAACCATATTTTATCGTTCATTTTACCAAAAGCATTACGAAAGCATTTCGCTATAAATTATCAAGCTATGTGGTGTCCCCACAGAGTCAAAAACACTATATGTTCCACGATATTCTAATAGTTTTGACCATGCTTTTTCTCAGTGTAGTAATCGAGATAGGCAAACTATATGTTTTCCTCTTAAATTTCAAAAATTTCAATTTTATTTGAAATTTTACATAAGCTTTCTTTATTCCAAAGATAAAATAAAATGATAAAATGTATTTGAACTCTTTACGTGCGAAGAACTACGCAATAAAACTGAACTTTTTATGTAAGTTTTTCAATTTCGTTTAAAATTTTTGAATTTCTTACATTTAATAATGACAAACGCACACTTTATAATACTAGTTATTAAAATTAAACTAAATTCAGTTCTTCATATGAAATAGTAATTATTTTTTGAACTATTTTTATAATTTTGCAGTTTTTTAATTTTAAAACTATTTTAGAATCTGTCTAAATGAATCCTTTTAATCCTAAATAAAGATTTCCGAAATTTAAAAAAAAAATGATGAGACTTTAAAGAATTGAAATATAATATTTTTTTAAAAATGTTATAAAAATTTTGTTTCTTAATTCCACACTGTTATTTTTTAATTTATTTTTTTAATATCACACTTATATTTCTTAGTTTATTTTCTCAATACCACATTGCTATTTCTTAATTTATTTTCTTAATACCACATTGCTATTTCTTAATTTATTTTCTTAATACCACACTGTTATTTCTTAATTTATTTTCTTAATACTGCACTACTAATTATATTTTTTTGATGTTTATAGTTTAAAAATTTTTTAGCAAATTACCCCTTTATAATTTATTTAAAAATAAAAATTATATTTTCAAATGCATATACTAAAATTAGAATTTGGACAAAAATTTAAATATTTACAACTTATTTATCCAAAATTAAAAATTACGATTACAAATAAAATATAAAGTAAAGACTTAGTTTAAAAAAATTAAATCTAGACAACTTGTTTATTTAAAATTAAATGTGTGTTTCCAAATAAATAAAAAAGTTGTAATTAAAACTTAAATATTGTCAACCTATTCACATCAAACAAATACAATAAAATTAAGATTTAATTAAAATATTTAAATCTCGTCAGCTTGTTTTCTAAAAACTAAAAACATGATGTTACAGTAAGAATATAGTTAAAAACTTAAGTATTCTAACTTGCTTATTTAAAACTAAAAATTATGATATCAAATATATACAATAAAATTAGAGTTTGAATAAAGTTTTAAATCTTGTTAATTTACTAACTTAAAATTAAAAATGTGTTATCAAATAAATATAAAGTAGTAATTTAATTAAATATTAAATTATTGAAAAGTTGTTTATTTAAAAAATAAAAATTGTGTTTTTGAATAAAAGTAACAAATTAAGAATTTAGTTAATTAAACATGAATAAAAAAATAACATTCTTATCAATTTATGTCACAGCTGAACTTCCAAGGTGTGTCTGTTACTGGCATCACTGTTAAAGTTATTTACAACTAAAAATTGTGATGTCAAACTGATGTAATTAAAGCAAGATTAAGTTAAAATATTGAAATCTTGACAGTTTTTTTTTTATTTAAAACTAAAAATTATGTTTCTTTATAAAAGCAATAAAATAAGAATTCAGTTTATTAAACATAAAAATAAAAATAAAAATTCTTATTAATTTTTGTAACAGCTGAACTTCCAAGGTGTCTCCGTCACTGGCATCACTGTTAACGCTAAGATCCAAAATGTTATCCATACTTTCTTCAGAGAAGATGAGTTGGAACTTTCTCACTGCTTCCAGTTTGGAACACCAGCTTCAGTCAGGGTAAGTATTACACAGATTTCACTATAGAACCCTTTTTTCGTTGTCACATAAAATATTACTTTAAGCGATTTCCTCAAAGCCTATGATCCCCTATACCAGGGAAGGGCAAACTACGACCCGTGAGCCAACTGTGGCCCGCCGGAAGATTTTATCCGGCCCGCGGACCGAATTTTAACTTTTTACTTTCTCTATTTTTGTTCTACAAAACATAAATTAATTAAAATAGTTAGCATTAACAGCTTCAATTGATAAAATGTTGAAAGCAAAAGTTCCTTATAGAATAGCCGTAGATTAGCTCCAAATAGTATTTGTCTTTCTCGTTTAGCAGACATATGGAATCTAATATAGGTGAATTGTACTTCACATGAGGCTTACTACGCATTTTAAGTTCCAACGAGCGGATTTTTCTTCCGGCGTGAGTTCTAACATAATTTACTGCGTATGGAAAGGCTGCACGCATACAACGTCATTGTAAAAAAAGGTGAAATTATTAAATGTATGAAATGGCTACTGCCTTTTTGAGTTATTTGTAAACATTTTTAATCCCAAAATGGCAACTAAAAAATGCAAAGTTGATGTAGAGTGCCATGCGTTCAATGGTGAATTGACTTTATTTTATTTCAGGAGTTAGAATTTTTATTTTAGAAGTTTTTACTCGGCCCACCAAACTTTTTTTTTTTCTAGATTTTTGGCCCACGACCAAAAAAGTTTGCCCATCCCTGACCTATACGATATAACAGTGCAAATTATACGCGATTTTAGTACAGCTATTTTCATGTTTATAACATGATTTTACTACAGATCTGTATATGTTTATATCGCAACAAACAAACCTATTCTCTGATCTGGGCTACTCTAGTCTCACTAATCCTGGCGATAAAATAAAAATGTCCGTTGAAATTTATGAAAAGAATGAAGTTTGATTTTATAACTTTTGGGGGGGGGCAGCAGACCAATCTGAAAAATGCAGCTCTCTGTGTTCAATTCCTTAGCCTTCTAATGTTGAACCCAACGCAGAAGACAAGGGAACTCTTGAATCAAACACCAATGCCTTCAACTGGCCTTCGTCGCTTCAATTTGCTCTCGTGGACAAACGAGCCTTTGTAGAGGACTTTCGAAAAATAAATAAATAAATAACTCGCATTTGTGTTACGAGCAGAGAATAAATACGAAAACCTCTCATGGATAATCCGATTGCAAAGGGATTTTAACCTGTGATCCATCTACCACTGGGAATACCTTGCTTCAGGCAGGAGAAAGATTGAAATCGACCATCTATCGCAGGGAAATGAACATATACTTTCCCTTGAACCATCAGAGCTCAATCAAAATATTTGTAAATTTCTTATCCTATATTTAGCATCTTGGCACAACATATAAAGTTAAATTTTATTAATATTAAATTTATTAATATTAAATTTATTAATATTAATTTCATTAATATCGCATCACCAGACATTAGTCCTGCACACAATCAGGAAATAAGCCAAAGTAAAAGAGAAAACTCAGATTGTTTAGACAATTCAGCCACGAACTAAACGGTGTTTTTATAAAACCTTGATATAATTTTGAGATATTCTATATAAGCACTAAATCGAATTGTTTTATTTGTCTAAGCTGATTTCAAAGGCCGAGGAACTGGGGATGGGGCTGTAGCCCCTCTCACATTTCATAAATACTGGGACACAGCCCCTTCTAAGATTAAAATTTTTAATTTAGTATCTGTGTATTTAATTTTACAAGTAAAACAAATAGATAATTTTTCTTTTGTGTCTGAATTCTAGAAAAAAAATGCCTCTATTTCAAGCGAGTGTTAATGTTTCTTGGGAGAAAACTGCTACCTAATCATCGCTTACTCAACCTCCTCCCGCAGAATAAATGTATGGCTCTATTGCTGAACACTAGGAAAAGTTATTGGTTTTAAAAGTGAGAGGGCACAGAATAAAAAAAAACAATTAAGCAGAATTTAAAAAAAATAATTAAAAAAATTTAAAAAAAAAACAATTATATGAGGGATAAATAATTTACAGGTTTTTTTAATGTTATTTCATTATTTGTGTTCGAAGGATAATTATCTGAATTCTAAAAAAAAATAAAAAATTTGTATCATAGGATTATTGTTCTTTATTCAGAAATATCGCATTAAATTATACCAAAGGATGAGTCTTGAGAAAGACTTTTGGTTTTTCCCATTAATAGTTTTCTATCATTGGATATTTAGAACATTTTTTATATACATGTATTTTTTAAGCAAACATTTAGAAAAAGTTAACACAGTAAAATTTACATCATATTGCATCAATTTTGTAAATTAATACTTAATATCATGAAATCAAGTAAAAAATTACTTTATGAAATCCTGTCCGAAGGTGATTGTTTATTTCCTTAAAAAGGAAAAAAACGTAGCATTTTGAACGCAATCAAAACATTTGAAAAAAGTCAAAATCTAAACCTATATGGGATACTAAGAAAACGTATACTTACGATTGTGTTTATAGGCCGCCATTTTGTGCCGTAGTTTTACCAAAACCAAACGATTCTCAAACCTACGCTTTATGTATACAAATTCATTTTTCAATAGAAGCAAATTGGATTTGGTTCTTCTCACTTGGCATAGCCAGCACAGTTTTGCGTAATAGAGAAATATCTATCTCAAATATGCGTATCAATTCTTTCAACAACTTACGACCGGCTGGTTCTATGCTTTATGTATGATTTCTATATTTTATTCGTATCAAATGCAAAATATAAAAGTACTTTCTGATTGATTAGGCAAGGTATCATCATTTGGACCATGAATCTTTCTCCTATATTATCTCAGCTGACAACGCCAGCGGTGCTGAAAAATCCGCAACAGTGAGGATTTTCCTTGCACCCAAATACGATGAACTTGGCAACATCATCCCTCTAGACGAGCAAAGGAGACTGTACATCGAAATGGATAAATTCCACACAGAATGTAAGCATAGTATTTCGTCAACTTTAGTGCTTTCATCCCGTGTGCTCACGTACTTAAACTTTTGCTTATGGGGCATGATATTCTGAACGTGGAACTAAGTATATTTAACAATTAGCTATTTTAGTTATTCAACAAAGAATGCGTCACGTGATTATTTATTGAAGAGGGTTAACTATACACTATGGCATTTTCCGAAAACTGATTTTTCCCATTTTATTTTTGTCTAACTCGGCAGTATGCACATGTTAAACATTTATCTGAACGTTTTTATCGAAATTCGTGGAAGAAAAAAATACAGTTTTTTTTTCTTTTCGTTTATTTATTTCAACTAAAATACGATTTTTTAAACCTTTTTTTCTATATTGTTCACGCACTCAGGATAATTTTTCTTAATTGTTATCTGTAAAAATACATAATAGATTATTTTAATCTCTTCTCCGCTCTTATCGTACTCGATAATTATCTTTACTCATATACAGTGGCGTACGCAGAATTTTTTCAAGGGGGGTGTTGTCAAGGGTGAAAATTTTTTCAAATTTTCTGAAGCTACTAAAAGAAATTCGAGTATGTAATAAAGCACTATTATTTCCCTAATTTAGACAGCTAGACAGTTCTGACTTTTTATTTAGACAACATTGTTTAGTTAAATTTTGATTTGATTTTTTAAGTTTAAGAACGCAATGTANTTTGCTAAAACCTAAGTTGCATCCATTATTTGTTTTTACTCTATTTTTGACAAGATTATTAAAATTTTATATTTATGACGGTCATCATGGAATATCACAATAGTCTTACCTCATATAAATATTTAATTTTTTAAATTTTATTTAACTTTTATTTAACTAATATTTAACTTTTGTTGAGCATTGCATATTTTCGTTTTTGACAAGAGTTCAAAAATTATGCATTTAGTTCAGTCATAACGGAATACCACAATAGTTTTTATTTATATAAATATTAAATTGTAACTCCTGATAAAAAACGTTTTGTTTTATTTTTAACAAAAGATCTAAAATTGTGTAATGCTGGCGAGCAATATGAATACCAAAATTATCTTCACTCATATAAATATTTATTTGAAACCCTAAATGTACATAGGTTGTTTTACACCATTTTTGACAACATAAGGTTTTGTATCCGTCGTTGAAGAGCAGACCCAATTTTTTGGGTTTAGGACTACTAATGTTCAACTCCGTAGCCTTGTAATTTTGAACCAAGCCAGAACACATAGAAGCTCCTGGATCAGTACCCCCAGAGGTATTGATTTATTATGGAAACACGGAGGACTTTGCGACTCGATAAATTTAACGTGCATCAGTCACCATTTACTACACGGGGAGTCTTCGTCCGGCGGAGATCGAACCCAAGAGTTCTTGGACATGGGACCAGCTCCCTACCAACCAGGCTATCCCGGTCTGACAACAATAGGTTGTCGAAAATTGAGTAATACAAATCAGTACCAGTACATTACAGACCAGTTTTTTTTAATATTTTATAACGGTCGTTGAATGCCGACCCCATTTTTTAGTTAACGACTCCCAATGTTCAACTCCTCATCCTTGTAATTTTGAACCCACTCCAGAAGACAAGGGAACCAAGTATTAAGAAGAATTTGCCTTCATTGAGCACTTTTTGATGAAACTACCCTAATTTGCTTTGCATGGAGAGGAAAACCACAAAAACCTCTCACGGTCCAACCTGTGATCCGTCTATTACTGGGGATATTTTGCGTCAGCGTTGTTGTCGGTGCAAGCTGGGTGAGGAATTTGCATCGCCAAGCCATCACTGGAATCGAGCCCAAGGTACTTAATTGGGAGACGAGCGCACTGTACCACCACGGCTGTTACCAACTGGTTTGTAAAGATTTTGTATTTAGGACAGTCATTGTAGAGTACTAACTACTCATATAAATATAAATTTTCACCCCCTAGTGTGCGTTGTTTGTTTTTACACCATTTTTTTACAGAAGTTCTAAAATTATGTATTGCGGACGGTTATTATAAAACACCCTAAATTTAACTTTTTTTTTAACTTTTAGTGAGACCAGGAAGGAACACAATTGTAAGAAGCTCCACAGACTCCAGCGTAACCATTTCATCCACCTACACCTTCAAAGAGCTGTTGCACGGTGAAGATCTGCAAGATGACCGCACTGAGTTCTGCAGCTGCGGGTGGCCGCAACATTTGTTGGTACCCAAGGGTAACGACAAGGGCATGACCTTTGACCTTTTCGTGATGATTTCCGATGGCGAAAAAGATAAGGTAAATAGATATTTAAAATGTATAATATTTTAGTTGAGCTCGTTTTTTATTATTTAAAAGAATTAATTAGTTGAGCTTCAAGAGTAATAATTCTCAACCCGATTTACTCAAGAACCGATAAAAGCTAACAGTTTTTTATTGCTGACCGGTAAAGTTTAATTGACATTATTTACCTGTATACAAAATAGTGGCACTTAAACAATTCTTCAACCAGTTTGCTTCGGTTCATTTACATGCACGCTATATTGAAAAGTATTTTGAATCAAAATCTACTTAAATATAAATACAATTTATACTATTTAAAAGAAGAATACTATTTTGAGGTCCGGTCGGTGCCTGCCCGTGGTTGAGAAACAATACTCTAGAGCATTATTTAAATAAAACTGTTAAATAAATGAAAAATTCATTCCAACTATTTTTAAGCGCGATTTAAAAATAAAAGCGGTAAGCGTTTCGAGGCTTCGTCTACACCGAAGAGTCATTACATTATGACCACCCTGCTAGTAACATGTAGGACCACCTTTAGCCCTCAAAACTGCTAGCACCCGCCGTGGCATTGATTCCACAAGGTGCTGATAGGTAGTCTGAGGTATCTGGTACCAAAGCGCTCACCAACTGGTCCTGCAATTCCCTCACATTGCGAGGGGGTAGCGTGGCAGCACGAATTTGGTTTTCCAAGTAGGACCACAAATGCTCTATTGGATTAAGGTCAGGTGAATTTGGGGGCCAAGACATGACTTGAAAGTCACTGGAATGTTCCTCGAACCAATCTATGAAGATTCGACCCTTATAACATGGTGCATTATCCTGTTGGTAAACACCATCCCCTGCAGGAAAAACTGTTGCCATGAATGGGTGAACCTGGTCTGCAACTATGTTCAAGTAGCTTACAGACGTCAGAGATTGTTCTATAAGGATTATAGGTCCTAATGTGCCCCATGAAAACATTGCTCCTAGGCGAGAAACCATGAAGACCTGTGCGAGCCCATTGTTATAGATGGAGAGTGGTCATAATGTAATGGCTCTTCTGTGTATACAGCCTATTTGAGCGACTGAAATTTACAAGGAAATTTACATGTTTCGTCTAAATTTTAAAACATGTTTTTCACTAAACCATTTTTTTTAATCTGGGGGAGAATTTAACTTTCATGAAAGTTAATCAATTCAAGTAAAATTTTGTCTGTTTTGAAATAGCTTTTCATATAGAAATTGAACACTTTTATTTCATTTTTTTTTTCATCAATGTTATTCTTCTTTTTTAATTTTATTTAAATCTCATACTCATCTCTTAATGTACCGACTTTTAAGAGAGATCCTTGTCCAAAACAAATAGTTTCTTCCAAATACTGCGTCACACAAGCCATTGACCTGTCAAGGTAACAAGGGAATTACTTCTGGGTCAATTTAGATGGTGAGGTGCTGCAATCTTATCTCCATTTAAATCTGTTTTTTTAAGGTTTCGTAGCAATATGAAATGATGTTTTGTGGGAAAATATGCTATTTTTATGACTGCTGTGAGATTGCAACTGTTACTCATGACTGTTAGCTCAAGTTTAGCCTATCTAAAGCCAGCGCTATCAACGATTCTGCTCATATAAGTCGCATTTTTACCAGCAGTCTGCTCCGCATGACAAAAACGGTTTTTCCATGTTATTATATAGAGAAATAGTGTTTTGGGGAGGGGAGAAAGTTTTTTCAAATTTTACACATTTGCTAAAACCGCCAGTGGGTTAAAAAAATAAATAAAATTTTAAAAAAACCGATGGACGGCTACATTTTTGGCAACTTATCGCTAGCTATCCGAAAAGTACCCACAGATTTGTAGAAAAATATCACGATGAAGTTTTTCTTGATTGAGGTGATCAAATTTATCTGTCTTTATGTAGGTTGCAGCAAGTAGCACTGCAAAACTGTGCAATGATGCTCTAAGCTATTGTGGTGTTATGGATGAGAAATATCCAGACAAACGAGCCATGGGATATCCATTCGACAGAACCATCACAGCCGAATCACATGCTGAATTCTTGCAACCCAACATGAAGGTCTCCAACATCACTGTACGATTCCAAGATTAAACTCAAAGAACTGTCTTCTCCTGCCTGTATTCGAAAATGCTTTCTTTAATTGAACTTGTTTAATTCTGACCATGTGAAAAAGAAATTGTAATTTAGTAAATGTAAATTAGTATCATTAAAATATTTAGATCCAAAATTTGTAAGAAAAGAAAAGAGGTTCGTCTTTTTCATGTTAACTTATAAATTATAAGTCACGGTCCACTTTTTGAATAAGAATATCAAGTACAGTCATACCTCGTTAACACGAAATCTGCTGTTCTATCATAATTATTTCATGTTTACCGAATTTTATTTTATCCGATACAACATAAGAACAATTTATTTCGTACTATTAATTACATGTTATGTACTAAATCAATGCATGCAAACAATTCTATTGTGATCCAAACAAACTTAAATAAGCTTTAAAGTTATAACTACTTTAGTGAACAATTTTACTTTAACTATTTTATTTGTTTGCCATCTGCTACTTCTGACCAAAGGAAGAAAATAGAAATAACATTCCTCAAAATGAATGATTGGGATTTTACTCATCATTCACTACAATAATACAATTACTAGGTCAGGTATTATATTATAACATACTATACTACCATACCTAATTATTTATTATCTATGCTGCATCCAGTTACCTTTCATGCTAAGTGATAATCAGCTTGAAAATTTCATGTTAAACATGTAAAATACAACAATAATTGACTGCTGACTCACAGGACCAAACATGTGTTTCGTGTAAAGCGATATTTCACGTTAAGCGATTTCGCGTTACTGAGGTTCGAGATTTAAGATTTCGAGATTAAAAATCGTACATTCCCCATGCCGTCAGTCTAATCGTGGGAGGATTTCGTGGTTTCTTCTCTCCGTGTAAAGCAAATGCTGGTTAGATCCACCAAAAAACCCAAAAGGCGACTTTCCCTAAATACTTCAGCCAGGAGTTCCCTTGTCTTCTGGATTGGGTTCGAAATTACAATGCTATGGAGTTCAACATTAGTGGTCGTAAACTAAAAGCTAGATCATCTATTCAACAACAGTTACAAAATAAAACAAAATAACCATGACATGTGAAGGAATCCCGGCGTTGTCTGGTCGATACGAATTCCGCACCCGGCTCGTACCGACTACAGTGCTGACGTACAATATCCTCAGTGGTAGAAGAATCTAGAGTTAGAGTCCCCTTGCCGTTAGGCTAACCGTGAGAGGTTTTCATGCTTTTTTCTCTCCATGTAAAGCAAATGCTGGTTAGTTCCTTCAAAAAAGACCTCTATGATTTCAAATTTCTCCAAATACTTAATCCAGGAGTTCCTTTGTCTTCTGGATCGGGTTAAAAATTATAAGGCTACGTACATCAACATTGGTAGTTGCAAACTCAAAATTGGATGAACTGTTCAACGACGGGTTTAAAATAAAATACCAGTAATTAATGAATACAAATTTTAATTTTATAAATATGGATATTTAACAGTGTACCGCGATAATATTCCAATTAAGCTTATTTATATTATTTTTACATTGGTCAATATATTTGTTACCTAAATAACACTAAGCAGCATTCAGGATAATAATTTATTCAGTAACTATCGCTTTGCGTAATATTCACGATATAGTCAGAGTTGATACACTTTTGTGCACTGTCCCGTGCAAATCAGAACCTGGCATTGTCCTACTTGTTGGTAAACTTGGTGTCATGTTCCTTGTAACCGATAAGTACAGATTTTTCCATGTAAAGTTTACCGGTGATTATGAAATAACTGATGATTTTAAAATAACCAGTGATTACGAAATAACTTTGCCTAATTATGACGCTTTGGAACGAATACCGTTTGATAAAATTAAATAAAATTTTCTGCATATGTATTATGATTTATGATGTCTAAAATAGAGTTAGAACGATATTGTTAGCTCAAAAAAATTGTAGCACTAGGCTTTTGAAATGTGTCACGGTTTTTCGTGGCCAAAAACAAGAAGAGAGAGTGATAAAAATTTTAAAAAAAAGAGAGAAAAAAAGCCTTTTATGTTTCAAAAATTGTTGACTTGTCCGCCCTCACACGTCTGACATCCCCATAGTTTTTTTCTCTGTTTTCAAAGGTTTTTATCACAGTCTCTTCTCGCAGTTGTCAAAAAAATGGCAATGCTTGGAAAAAGACTAACGTCGGAATTTCTTGGGCTGAAAATATCGTTCCACTTTCATTTTAAATAGATTTTTAATGCAAAGATTATGATGTTTCAATCAAAAAAAGGGGAACATTTTTAATTTTTTCCCCTGTAACTGAAACCATAAGAGCTAATGCAATCATTTTTTACATCATTCTTGTGCTAATAGATCATAATGGCTTTGTACGAAATTCTATTCCGTCCATTTAAACGATATGCTCTCCAGATGGTCATATGTCGGCAAAGTTACTTAATAATCATCCTGTATTTTCATTTAAAGGATAATAATATAAAGTTGGAGAATAAAAATTTGAATTTAAAAAAATATATCGTCAATTTGTTATTATAAATAGTAGTTGGTAATAAAAAGCTGTAGAACTACAGATTTAAGCGTTTTGAAATTAAAATGCTGTTCGGACAAAAAAAAATCAAAGCGCATTTATTTTTAAAATATGTTTATTTTTATATCAGGCATGGAATCGGTATTTTCCCTAAGATGTCGTAATCGAAAGTTGCCAATGCGAACTTTTTTTTTACAATGTCTTTTATGCAAGTCTGAAAGGCGCCGTTAAGCGGTTTTTGGATTTTTGATTTTTTTTTTTTTAAATTTACGATGCTCAACTATACGCTATCTGGGAAAAAGTCCCGTTCCATTTCTTAATCCTTCCCTCTCTTCCTCTTCTTAGTTGTATAGTTGTCCTTCTTAGTAATGAAATTTTCCACTTTTTTAATATTTTTAGTATTAAATTGTGACAATTTTATTTTAAAAATTCCACGACTCTTTCTTTTGGAACTATGCTCAATGTGGTTTTCATGCTTCATATAGTTTTAACTAAGGTTCCATATGGATGGTGCTTTCTACACTAGGGAACACTGCAAGCTCTATACCGCCTATACTCCTGGGTTACTCTTCCCGTTGTATTTTAAAGCCATTTGGCTCACAACGTGATCATTGTGTTTTGAGATTTTTGCAAACGTGGTATTTGATTACTTATTACTTGTGTTTACAATGCTAACAATACTTGTGTTTACAATGCTAAAGGGGCTAACAGTACCGTAAGATGGTGCACAGCTTACAACAATAACAAACAGTAATAAAAAAATGGAAAGAGGCCAAATCAGGACTGCCAAAAAAGCGAGTTATTCAAAATCTAGCAATCATGTCACCTTCTTTAACAATATATCTATAAATAACTAAAACAAATGTTCACTTCAAACGCACCAGAATTACTTAATAACATTAATATCTTATGAAATACAGCAGATTTGAGTTCAGAAATAATCTAATTTAGTTCTTTTATTGAAAACAAAATTGTCTGTTTGAAAATATCGCCTAGCAGAATAAGCTGTAGTAAGCAGTTGCAAACTTTCTAACCGGAACTGGAATAGGTATGGATGGTGTTTTCAATATAAATGTAAACAATAACACAATGATAACGTTGTGAGCCAAACGGCTTTAAAATATATCTGTAACTGTAACCCGGAAGTATAGGCGGTATGGAGCTTGCAGCGTTCCCTAGTGTAGAAAACACTATCCATTGTGCTCGAGATTGTTATTGTTTACATTTATATTGAAAACACCATCCATAGTTTTACTTTAAAAGCTTTTAGTTTATTAGAAAATCAAGACGGGAACTAATGTACTTCCTTTTCCTATGACTCTCCACACGCAAATGGTAAAAGCAGGCGAAGTGTTGCCGTAAGTAGAAAGTTCTGTTTCACGCCACCTATAGCCCGTTTCGATCATCTATTTTTTCGAGTGACGATCATTTCTTTCATAACATTTTTCGTATTTAACTGTAAAATATATTTTCTAAAATTTCCACAATGCTTCCTATAAGAACTGATTTAATGCAGTTTTGAGTTCTATAAAGTTTCCTAACTTAAAAGTTTTTAATCTAATTGAAAATCAAGATAGAAACTAACGTACTTCCCTTTTCTATGACTGTTTACTGGCTAATGGTGGAAACATGCAAAGTATTGCCATGGATGGTTGACTATATCTAAACAATAACAAGCGTCCTGAAACCGGAAGAAATTCAGAAAATTTCCGGTGTATCCCTCCGCTTATGTTATGACTACGAGGCGATGTGTGAACAAGCCTAATATTCTATGCAGTTTTGTTATTGCAATTTGGGTTCAAATCTAAACATAATTGTACCATTCATAAAAGCTTTCAGAAATGTATTCATTCTGAGAGGTCGTAAGGTCAAAAAAAATTTTGGAAAGTTAATATCTCATTGTGAATAATTCTTAAGGTTTGCCATGTTTTGTATTTTATCCCTTATTTGGCTACATTTGAATAAAATGTCGCCAAAAATATCTTTTTAAGTTAGCCTAATTAGAAAATATTCTAATGATTATAATATTAATATGATAATGCTGAAGTTTAAAGGCTGAAAGAAAGAACTCGGCACATGTGAAATACTGCAAAATATATGATGCAATAAAATGATGGCTCGTTTTTTCTATCTGTGGCGTAAAAATATATCGGAAGCAGTAACCCGGAAGTCTAATAAGAGCAATTTTACCACTAGCGCCACCTCCTTTAGCTTTACACGATCACCCATCCATAAATCGAGAGTTCTGCTTAGCGCCATCTGTAGCGCATTTCGATTATCAATCCACTAAAATTTGGAATTTTTTTTAATCTATGAAAGCTACAAGCACATTTACAAAGTAGAGCGCTTCGAAACGGATCATCAAATTACTACAACTACTACTGCTCGGTACTGCTGGTAAATAACATGGATCGTAAATAAGTTCACCTATTTTACGCAGACCAGAGCCGGATTATACCTTTCGTAGGCCCTAGGCATAGCCGTTTTTGGGCCCTCCTTCCCCCACTCCTCCCCTCTTTTCAAAATATATGCTAAAATTTTCTTNGCCATTTAAAGAAGAAAATCCTCTCCGCTGCCAAGTCCCATCAACAGAGACTCCACACTCTTTTATTATAGCTGTTTGAAATTTAAAATTTGAAATGGT